GAAGATTATAACAACGAATTATTTTTCGGAAGGGCACGTTTCCACAAACGCCGGAGCGAGATGTTTCGAAGCACATTTTTTGTGATTTTCCAGCACACTCAAAATTTTACACTAAAACGCTTATGGAGGGAGTTACGACCATTGAGGCCTGAAAAACTCGCGTTTTGATGAAAATGTTTGAAAGGGGGTACCTCCAAGATGTTCGCACGATATTAATCTTCGAATCGTCAAATTTTGAGTAAGTTATAGTTCTTCTCAGAAGGCTGGAACGCTGACTTTTGTCATAATGGCTTCAGCTTTCCAAATTAATGATTTGGAAAGAAGTCGATTGTTTGAAGGTTGAAAACTCGCATATACACGAAAAGAATGTGCACAAACGTGCTAATTTTTTATTGAATAGTCGTTCAAGGAACATTTGAAATCCGACAGAGCTTGAAAACTTCGAATTTTCCTCTCCACATACCATGAATAGCTTATTTTGAGGCTTTTTTTTTATTAAATTTCGCATCAGTACGCGGGCGAATTGCAAGCAAGACTACCTTCATTGATCCTTAATTGTTAAGCTTCATGAAGTCAAGTTCCCTCGAGATTTCTTCAATGAAGCATTCACTGGAAACGAAATGTATGTACAGCTCCCTAGAAAGCATAAATACAGCACTTCTTCCTTGGCTAGTACGTTATCGTGAGAATTGCGAAATCTGCTTGAAAAATGTTTGCTCTTGGAATGGCATGCTTGCCATTGTGTTGGATTACGATTAGATTCGAAAAGCTCCCGGGACTACTGATTATTGACGCTTCAATTTTTGCTATTAGCTTTACTAATCCCTCTGATCTCCTTCCCTCTCCTCTCCTCAACGTTTGGTAACTGTTATTTTCCTTTGTCCTAGATTGCTTCATTTTTTTGCTCATTTATTTCAACACTAAATGGTCACACTTGAGCAATGCCGCGTAGGAAAAGTAACGGTGAGAAGAGCTACACGTGGGCTCACCATATACAGTAACGCGGCGGAGAGCAGATTGGACATATTGTTTCCCCTAGCCAGGTGGCTTCATTCAGCGAGATTCTTATCCTTATCCCAGAGCGCAAGGTACAGACATAATTTGATTTTTTATTGCAAATATGACGCTGACAACAGGATGAGCATACAAAATGTGTCACAGTTAGCAGCCGAGAATAAGGAAGCCTGAGACCGCAGCATTAGGGAGGACGCGTTGCATCTCATTGACCTAAACACAAACTCTACCGCTGGTTCTATGGTACTGGTAGTTGAATACAGTTGACGCAATTCATCAATGTGTTTTTCATGAGCATTTAGCTCATGGTGCTGCTAAGATAAGCGGAAAAGGGAGAGTCTAAAGCACCTCATAGGATTGTCACACACAATATGGGCCTCATTAATGAATGCCTAATGGAATAGTGGGTTTATAATTGATTCGCCGATGTTGAACTCATGTGTGGCTTATACCATTAGGTAGGGCAATAATTATCCGCCGTTGTTCTCGCTCATAGTTTTTTTGATTTTTGCTGATTATTCCTAGAGCTTATGATAACCTGGAAGCTCTGAATCTCTCGTACATTTCCGTGTACAACACTGGTGTATTTAATTCACTGTGGAGCTTACACACTAGCGAAGAAGTTTGCCCCTGCTACATGAGCGCAAGTTGAGCTCAACACCGAATGCTCAAATGATTCGCTCTGCTCGTAGAATTAATTAAGCCTGGGATGAAGGCACGGTTGCAGTGAGAATCGATCGAGAGCATCTGTTGATTACGCATCTATTGTTGTTTTTGATTGTGTTTATCTAAAACGCTATGAGTGAATGAAACGGCGGATAATTATTGCTCAACCTTATATATTAAAAGTTTGCAGCACTAGAAAAATCAGTCGGAGCATTACAATATTAAATCAAATGTGCTAAAGCTACTCATTTATCATTCGATTGTTGATATATTTCAGAAACAGGAGTACAGCTTTATGAACGGTGAACAAGTTCATCTCAGCCCTAAAGCCTCTTTGCTTCGACAAGTTCTCTTTGCATACTGGCTTTTTAGCGGTACCTTCTTACAGACGTTTCTGGTGGCTGGTTCTGATCCATGCTCAGAAGAAAAGGGTTCCGTATTTGAAGAGTTCGTTCTACAAACTCTGTATTACTGCAGGATTTGTCGATATCGGTAAGATCTCCACGACTGACTACTTGTACCTAAAGAACTCCTTCACACTCTTCTTGTTCTTTTTTAAACGAAACCTCACTTCCATCAAACCTCACCCCAGTCCTCCAGACCTACAGGCTCCTACTTAGCACTAGCATTGTCTGGGGCGGCAAGCACGTTCACTTGTACATTGATTGGCTTCGGTAAACAAAAGTGTGAAACGTGGCGCATAGCAAACGGATGAATGGCAGTCGAGCTTCATCCTTTATTTTTGGATCATCTCGCACTCATCGAGTGCCCTTGGTAAGCATATGGTTCATGTTGTTGTAAAGAACGCGCACGTAGCGCACAAGACAAAAATTCCGTTCGAAATGATGAATTGCGAATTGAAACCTTCTGATCGTGAAGTCTGAGAAGAATGCCTTTCAATAACGAGTATTCCTTCATTGGATAAAGTGCGCAAGCTGCAAATTGTCACCAAGTGTTTTGCGGAATCCCAAAGTAGGTCCCCTAGTAGAATTGCTTGGGTTTCCCTTGATAAAGTGATGAAAAGTATTTCGAGACATTTTCAGTGAGCCTTCTCAACAATTATTTTGGTGCAGTATTCCCCAAGTGGGGATGGTTCACTTCGGTTTACCTATCTCTCGGGAAGGAGTACGTATACACATATTTGATCATCGCTTGGGGTTCAGGTATGCCTTGCAAGTTTCGTTGATAATTGGAACTCTTCGCTTAGCTGTGTAGATGGATACTCTTTACTTTTTGACATTTTTCAAAAATTTTCCCGCTATTGAAGGAATCAACCAGGCACTCTGCGTATCGATGTTGGCTGCGAATCGTCTCTCCGCTATTTTGTTTCCACAGCATTATCAAAAGGTTTTGTTATGTACTTTCATATATTATAATACTTCCAAAGATAATATAATGAAGAAACACAACCTTACCAATTTTCTGATAACCTTCTTCGAGCAAAGCTTGTCGAATATCACCAAGATGAAAACCGTGGCGTCCAAAATTCGCCCCACCCACTAGTTTAGTTGGTGATTGGTGAGCCGTGTTGCTAGTGGGGTATCGTTCGCTTTCGTTTTGAAGCTCATTTTACTTCGGGCGGCTGTATCTTCTTACTTTTTTGTGTATTGCGTACTGAACGCAGTGTCACGTTTATTGCCGTGGTCCCGGTCAGCGAGGGTAGGCTCTTTCTTGGCCTCCGATCATTGATGGTCGAAAGTGAGGGTATGTACGTCTGCTGTATGTGTGCTAGGGCGGATTTCTCTGCTTGTTTTCCAGTAACGCTCCACTTAGCATAACCACATTTCCTTTGAATTTGTCCAAAACCTATCGCTGCCTTTGCACTTCATCTTTAGGGCTACCATTGGAGCTATCAGCAGCGACTGCCACAAATTGCGGTAACAAACTTACGACAAAGTGAGCATGGGAAATATGTGCATCTAGTTGAATACAAAAATTTTATTCATCGGAGGTTAATAATCAGCAAGTCACATTAGTCTTTCAAGCAGCCACTGTTTGCTTAGGAAAGAAGGGAACGTAGGATTCGGCAATTGGCGTTAACGTATGCACCTGAAGATAAGGCTTACGACTCACCTCTGGCATTCCAAAGTGTTTTTTGGAATGCCGCCGAACATTTCCACGATGTCAAGAACAAGTATTACTAGTATTCATCGCACTTCATAGAGTAATCTAGAAGATTCGAGCATGGAGATTTAGGTAGCCATTCTCCGAGAAGAACAACCACGAACCAATCTAACCTAGTGCCTGGTATCAAACTTTATAGGGTTGATTTTTGCATGCTTCCTGGAGAGCTTGAGTGGCTTTGCAGTGTGGTAGCACCACCGGACACTTTGGGGAAGCAAACGAGTGATTACTTCGAGAGGGCTAGAAGCTTTGATTCATCTCCAAACGCTTGATCGAACATTATACGAAGTTATACGAGAATGATCAAGCTGATCTGATCAATGGAACGAATACTTGCAAGCTGCACTAAAAATTCCGTCGGTTTATTTTGAAAAATATGTGTGGTACGCTCTTATTGCCGTAATTAGTAGCCACACATGCGATTTGAGCCCAAACAGTTTAAGAGCAATGGCCAGCGCATTCTGGATGGTACATTTCTACTTTGCTCTCTAAGCTACTTTGCACTAAGCCTTTTTTACTGATAATATTTTATGAGACGACCGCATCACAGCTCTGTTTTTTCCATGGCCACTTCTCGGTTGAAAATGAATTGAGCTGCAAAAGTTGAAAAACAAAGTACAAAACAACAGAACAATAGATTGCGAAAAATTCCGAAAACATTTGTTCAAGATGTGGTATGGCCAACGACTGAAGTTTGCCATGTTGATACAAGTCCTCCCTGGCTTCACCATTCCATTTTATATTCTTACCAATGATGTACGGCTTCAGAGAACCCCGAGTGGAGGCCTTGTGCCAGCAATTGTTGAGTGAGTCAGCTTCACTTCCAAGCTTATCCAGAACCAACAAGCATGCTGTGATCTATCTGTCCTGAGAGTTTTATCCTGCCAAGCAATTGTTCGAAGTTCGAAATTCAAATTTTCAGCAAGAAGGTGACAGCGTCGTATTTCACTGCAGCTGGTATCTGGATGGCAGCTCACTGCCTATTTCTTGTAGTGGCATATTGCTATCTATTCATTGTCATTCGAAAGAGGCACGAAGCTCAACTTAAGGTTGGATCAAGAAACTTGAAAGTTTAGTGCAGAAATTTTCATCTTGAGGTTTCAAAAACACTGCTGCTTGGTAGACCAGTTTTAGCAAACAAAGCTGATGATTTCGGTAAGCTATTTACTGCGTCCTTGGCTACCTAGAGCATATCTTAAACAATAACTGTTAGTAATATTGGCATTAAACCTGATCTCAACTGTCTTGCAAATCAAAAATTCTGAACGTTAGTTAGTCGGTTAGCAAAAATAGTGTTGTAGTAGTATAGTAGTGTTGCCGCATGATATGCATAGAACACAGGTATGATGTTGAAAAACTCGCACAGCAAGTTTTGGCCATTTCGTCGCATGAGAGGGACTAACCGCATGAGTGCCACCGCCCTAAGTTTTTGAACGCAACACTCTACCTCTAGGCATTTGGTATTGTTGAAATTAATGATTCATGTCTTGAACATTATTTTACCCTGAGAACACAAATCAGTGGTCATAAGTAAAATAAAAAAAGTTCGATGACGTACGACTTATCGTACTTTCGAGGGCTAGCGGATGTCGTTGAATAATTTTAGAAAGATGGCGGTACGTGGGCTCAACGAGATCGCTTCAAAGAGATGTCGAAGCGAAGAGAATTCCGCTTGTTCCTTATGGCTTCATCTATAGGTTAGCTGTCTTCGAGTTCCAATCCTTGTTGATTGTCTTTTTGCTTTTGCTTCGAGCACCTATAGCATCTGCGTCATCTATCTAGTATGTTTCAGTGATGTTAAGTTGTCAAGAAGTGTAATTCGTAAGTTGCAGTGGCGGTTCAGCTGATCTATCTTCTCTTCGTGTCAACTAAGCTTTTCCCATGGTTCCCAATCACTATTGAACTATTCTATATAATTTATAACGCAATGAGGTAAGGGCTCATATTAAAGTAAGCAGTTGAACCGTATAAGTTTTGTACCTCTGTTCTTTTTTCCAACAGCAGTTTTTGTTTTCGGCAAAACAAGCATATTCAAATTTTCTGTAAATTATTAAAATGGAAAATCTTTCAGTGACCTCTACTCGGGTGTCAGCGCCTATCTCTTATGGATCTTCAGCGATGCTCTTCGCCAACATGTCTTTGCGCTTTTAGGAGTCGGAAGGCGAGCATCATCTTCAATCGCCATGACAGTTACGCAGTCTGGGAATTGAGATGCTCAGAAATGAGATTTGCATTCTACGCTACACTTATATTTATTGGTGCTTTGTGGTTATAAAAGCAACAACGCCTTTTTAATGTGCACCGCTTTGTGTAAATCTCATAGTTACTTTAGCGACGGAGAAATTGTGTTGTTTTTACTAGCACCATTGCGTGGGCCATCTAGGGCAAAGTGTATTCAGAGATTGCCTAAGAAACAGGAGCAAAGATCCACAGTACGTCGAGCAAGCGCTACAGCCACTGAACTCGGAAAGCAGCATCTTAGAAATACCGTTTTTCAAATCTGAATAATCTAACTCACACTTTATATTGGAAGCTGTCGAAACAGGCCTCTCCAAAGTTGAACTGTTAGCAACGTCATACGTACCATTTCATTCTCCAGTAATAAGTGAGCGGTTTGAGCAGTGCAGAGCGTAGCACAATTACCCGATAAGATCCTCTCAAAAGTCTAAGCCATAGCTTGTATCAGAAAGCCAATACACGAAACTAGTCCTCTCAAACGAATGCCTGTTTATGTATGAGGTGGGAAACCTTATCACTCATCAGCTCACGATCAGTTGTAAAATTAGGTAAATCAGAGCAAAACAGACGAAGATTCAGTAAAAGTGGTGAATCAACCTGTAGGATTCCTTCCTTAATTTTGACAAAGCATCCGAGGTGAATGCATCACTGGACAATATCCAATGTATGCAAGTTAGCATGCCTTCAACGGAGTCATTCAATCGGCTTTGTGAGTAGTGCAGGTGGGCTTGCAAAAAAGTGTGATATGTGACTGCCCAGACACTGATGAATGACAATTTCATTCATTTGCACACAACAAGTTCTACAATCACCTTTGAAGATGTTCCTTTCTCTATCTTGTCTCCAGAACTGACAAAACTTAGTTCTTGAATAGTTATTAGCTGTTCACTCGAAGCAAAGGCAAGCTTAGTGATAGTCTGGCCCGATTCATTTCGACAGTCACCGAAGATAATTCTCCGTGTGAATTGTCGTAGAATGTTGCACTGGAATGCTGTGATACCGTACTTCAGACCCTCTCGATGGAGATCTGTGCGCTTGAATTATCTGCAGATCTGGATATTCCTGACGCAAAGGTTTTGACAGTTATAAGACTAGTTGAAAGATTTTAAAAAATCGCTCCAGCTGCGCTTCTAAGGTCTAAGAAAATTCGATAGTCTGTGGGAAATTGTGTATTCACCATTGTCTGAGCAGATACATACATTCACACTTTTTTCTGAGCCCTCCCTTCATGCTAATCATGAAGCTGAGAAAATGACTTTGCTAGTGGCGGGCTAACCTTGTATACGTAGGAGTGATCCATTCATGTCAAATGTCTGTCGTGCCGAACGTGAACTGACGCTCTTGCATTTCATTTTCGGCGGCTGTTTTTTCTGATTTACCCAATTGAACACTTTAACTAATGAGCGACAAAGCTTCCCACCTCATCAATGAACTTGTATTCGTTTTTGAGCGGATTTGTTTCGTGTATTGGATATTCACGGTACCATTTTACACAATGCTGGAGTACGCCATGATTCATGCTCAAAAGAAGAAGATTGCAAGTCTGTCCAGTCCATTCTACAAAATTTGTATAGTCGCAGGAATCGTCGATATCGGTAAGGTGATAAGTTGTTGGACTTACTGATCTACTTTAATAACCAAATATTAGCTACCAGTTTT